GCCGTTGACTTGCGTTTGGGTTATAACCCAGAATATATGTTGTTGCTAAGTCATTTATAAGTCGTGCTCGTGGGAACGTGGAATTTCGTCCGTGGTACCATATAAGTGGACTTAGCTAAGTCCTAGCTAACTGGTTCGCGGCAGACTTTCTATTCAATGAGTGCGCTGTTCTGTTTGTCGGGCCTCTCGACATGTCGTGGGCGTGTCGTGGGCATGTCGTGGCCGTGTCGTGGGCGTGTCGTTGTTCTGGGGCCCTGTCGCGTGCATGTCGTGGCCGTGTCGTGGCCGTGTCGTGGCCGTGTCGCGGCCGTGTCGCGGGGGGCCTGGCACTTTGCCACGGGGCTGCGTCATGGGCGTGTCGTGGGCATGTCGTGGGCATGTCGTGGCCGTGTCGTGGCCGTGTCGTTGCTCTGGGGCCGCGTCGTGGGAATGTCGTGGCCGTGTCGTGGCCGTCTAGTGCTCGCGTCGTGGTCGTGCCCGGGTGGCAGACTTAGCTCGGAGTTGTAACTCCAGTTGCATAAGTCCGTAAGTCCGCTTGTTAGCTAACCGATTTTATAAGCCGGACAAGCCCCGCCCGCCAACATAGTAGTCGCCAAACCAAACACCTGACCTGTCCTGTCCATTTTTCCTCATTTCTTCCTTGTTCCATCCTTTCTCACTCGATTTCGCCCCCCCCCCCTTCCCTCGCCTTGTTCCATGCCCTGTCCACATCCTTCTCAAACGAGAAAGCAAGAGAACGATGAGAAGGAGAGGTGAGAGGGACGAAAAAGACAAGGAAATGAAGATTTCGCCCTGCCCTCTCTGTCACTTTTCTCATCCGCTTTCACCCCTTCCCTCTCATCACTCCATGCTCTATGCTAAGAAAGGAATAGGAGAGGAAGAGAGGAGTGGGAGGAAGAAGGGTCCGCCTCGTAAAGTCAGAAAGGATGAGCAATTGAACAGAAAACGCCGGGGAGCACCGGAGTGAGAGAGATGGAGACAGATAGAGAAGCAAAGAGAAGGAGACAACAATTAGGGAGAAGAGGAAGAAGGAAGACAGTGGAAGAGCGACAGATAGGGGAACAGGGTGAAGGAAACAAAAACAATGAAGGAGAGGAAGAAGGAAGCGATGGTGAAAAGAGGGCCGCTTGGAGAACAAAAAGGGGTCAAGCAGGACACTTGTTTTTGTTATCCACTGTTCCTTTTCCCATTTTTTACACTTATGTCCCGAGCATTGCTCACGCCTTTCTTCCACGGTCTTTGTCCTTCATTTCTCCTCTCTATCTCTCTATCTTCCCTCTAGCTCTCCTTCCTTTCTTTTCCATGTTCGTTCTCCTCCTTGACCCCGCTCTCGCTTTTCTCGTGTCCAGCCCATGAGCCTTTCCTCTTCTGTTCCTTTTGCCATTAAGTAGGGAGATAGAAAAGGCAAGCTTAAGCAAGGAGAATGAAGGGCATTATAAGATTGCGGACTATGGTCTGTCTCTTTCTGCGAGGAAAGGAAGAGGTGAGGGGAGGGGAGGAGAGGCAATGTCTCATGTCGAGCTGGGAGGGAGGGTTGGATGCTACTGGAAGCTCTAGCCTCTAGAGGCCCCTGCATTCGGGAGGCCCCTGAGATATAGCAACATTGGGATGGGATAGGGTATCTCTCGCTTCCTCTTCTGAGCCATGTTTCCTCACCCCGACGGCGGAGTCCTCCACGTGGGCGAGGGAAGGGACTCAGCTAGGGGTAAGGTAGTGCCCCTACTGAGACCAACTCCATACCCTGAGGGGTGTCACCTTTGTCACTTTGGTTGGTTACAGTTTGGTGGGCCTTTTATACTGATGGGGTGAGAGTGCCGCCAATTCTCTTAACGGCATCCGCACTCTTGCGGTCTTGCTCCACTGGTCCCGTGCCATTGGGTTTCTTTGTTCGGGGGAAGGTGTTGGGGGGGGTGCTCATGGAGTGCCTTCGCCGCCTTCTCTCGAAGCGGTGTCGTGTCGGGAAGCTTCCTGGGTGGGCTGTCGGACGAAGATACTCTCGGTCAAGTTCTTCTCGAGGTTTTTGCGGTAACTTCACACCCAGAGTACCCTCACTCGCTTGTTCACATGCTGTTGCGAGTGTGTCGTCGTTTTCAGCCGGTTCGGAATCGGCGAAATCGGGCCTGTTGACAGCTTCTACGAAAAAGGCGGGTTCGTGGCGGGGGGGGGCGTCGATACGTCGTGGTCGGATTTTGCCTGTCAAGGGATTGGCTGGCACGACTAGCCGAAGGGTGCAGGGGGACACGATCCCCTTGTGGCGGTGTTTTGGCCACATGCCAACACCAATGGCAAGCCCGACCCCCCCTTGCTATGTTTCTGCTTTTTTGCCTGTTCGACAAGGGATGTGCCGGGACCTCTGTAGATCGATTTGACCGTAGGCGAACACTCGCTACGGATGCATTTTTGTTGTTTTTTTTCAGATGGGTGAGCGGGAGGTGGGCGATTTGGATTTGCTTTTTCTCTTTGGTTTGGGCTTGTCGCTCTGCTGGTCCAGGTACGTGCAAAGTCGCCAAACCAAACACCTGACCTGTCCTGTCCATTTTTCTTCATTTCTTCCTTGTTCCATCCTTTCTCACTCGATTTCGCCCCCCCCCTTCCCTCGCCTTGTTCCATGCCCTGTCCACATCCTTCTCAAACGAGAAAGCAAGAGAACGATGAGAAGGAGAGGTGAGAGGGACGAAAAAGGCAAGGAAATGAAGATTTCGCCCTGCCCTCTCTGTCACTTTTCTCATCCGCTTTCACCCCTTCCCTCTCATCACTCCATGCTCTATGCTAAGAAAGGAATAGGAGAGGAAGAGAGGAGTGGGAGGAAGAAGATTGGCAGAGGAAAGAGGGACTTCTTCCCTTTCATTTAGCTTTGGCTTACGGTATCCCAAACACCAAAATACAGATGGGTCTTTGGGAGGGGGGCTTGAAAATTCTACAGACTTTAGCAGAGCATATGAAATATTGAACTACTGGACCCCGGGGCCGAGTAAGCGCTCCAGCTGCTTAATCGGGTTGACGATGCCGGGGAACTCTCCCCGAGAATCTTCAATCCTGATCCTTCGGCCTCAAGGCCGATTGAGCGCTCCGCCTGCTTAATCGGCCCTGGGTTTGAAGATTGAACATGCCCGGGAACTCTCCCCGGAGCACCTTCAATCCTGGATTCTCAACCCTGGGCCGACTAGGCAGATGAAGTGCTTAATCGGCAGGGGTCTGGGGTTGAAGATACTCCTGGGAGAGTTCCCCGGCATATTCAATCTTCAATCTTCAATCCAAGGGCCGATTAAGCAGCAGGTGGAGCGCTTAATCGGCCCTGTGTTTGAAGGTTGAAGATTGAAGATGCCCGGGAACTCTCCCCGGAGCATCTTCAATCCGGGGAGAGTTCCCCGGCGTCTTCAATCTTCAATCGTCAAACCCAGGGCCGATTAAGCACTGTCTTGGCCCCCCCTTCACAAAACATATTATCTCTACTTTGTTGTCCAGAAGCAGATGTTGGCGCGTAAGGCCTTTTCACACCCGAAAACATCTCTCAGTCAGCAAAACGCAAAGAGAAAGTACGTAGAATAGGTGCCCACATCAAGTGTGTATATAGGATAAATGTATGGCGTATCAAATACCGATAGCGGAGAACGAACCATGAGACTCAGAAGTATTCGAGCGCATAGGGTAATGCGGAAAATCATTTGCTTTAAGCCCCAGGGACACGAGAATACTGTGAGCAAATGTCCTTTCGCGATTTCCTGAGACCTTCCAACAGGCTGCAAGTAATTGCTCGCAAGTATCTTGCTTTTTCATTCTCAATGCTTCCCACAGGTCTCCCATCATGGTTATCATTTGTCAAGGATGATGCTTATTCTCCAATTATCCGCAAGACCCACAGGCGCTTAAAGTCTTACGTAATACTCGTCCAAAGCAACAGGATATCACATCCTGACTACAAAAAGTATACGAAACCTTGGTTTATGTTGTGCGTCTCGTAAGAAGAAATGACATAGCGTGCTACGGGAACTGTGCTGTTAAGCCTTTATATAGCGAGGGTTTAGTGGTTTAGAGTTGAAGGGGAAGGCCAGAAAGTCTTTTCAGATGCCTCGCTGTTTTATTTTTTGTCACCGTGTTTTAGGCGGTTGTACGTCTCGTAGGAATAAATGGTTTCTGATATAGCATGCTACGGGAACTGTGCCGTTATATCTCAATGTACCGAGGGTTTAGGGTGGTTTAGAGTTGAGGGGGTAGGCCAGAAGGTTTTGTTTAGCTACTTTGCTGTTAGATTTTTGTTTTCATTCTTTTCACCTTTTCACCCTTATCTTATCTTCATCTCTTCTCTCTCTCTCTATCTTCTTCTTCTTCTGCTGGGCTTGCAGTTCTCCCTTCCTCTCTGTCATTTCTGCGTATTGTTCTTTCCGTTCTTGCTTCTCTTTCTATTTCTCCTCTTTCCTTCCTCTCCTTCCTGCTTCTTAGCTTTCCACCAGAAAAAGAAAATGAAAGAACGGCAAGCTCGTCTTGGTTTATCACTGATCACCAATGAGACAGGAGAGAAGAACAAGGAATAGAGCAATGAAGTCGAGGAAGGGGCAGATGATGAGAGCGAGGGCGTCTTGCTTTCCCTGAGCTTTCGGTTCCTTTCATTTGTCCTTTCTTCTTATGAAGAGAAAAGGGAGAAGAGCAGAGGATGAAGGCAAGGGAAGAGAAAACGTGTGAGCCGAGCGAAAGAGGAGTTCTCCCTTCCTGTCCCCACCATCTGCCTTCATCCTATCTTTTCCTTTTTGTTCTCTGTTGTTGTTGAAAACCCTCCCGTCTCAGGTACCTTAGCTGCACATGTTCTTCGTTGCCTCTTTTCCAGAATGAGAGTTTGGAGTTGACTTAATTAAATCTTGATTTGTAATGTGCATCCATGCAAACCTGCAGGGCTCAGATCGCGACTAAAAAGTCCGCAACATGGTAGTGCGGAGCTCTGGTTGAGTTCCTTTGGGAAACCTGAAAAGCACGTGAGCCGAAACCTTGTCACACCCAGTTTCAGAATGTCGGAGATGCAACAGCTCATCCAAGCGTTGCAATCTCAAACCCAGCAGCTGCTGCAACAGCAGCAGGAGTCCCACGAGCAGAGGATACAAGTGATGCAGCAAGCACTGACTGCGCAGCATCAGCATTTCACGCAAGCGCTAGGCAAGTTGAGTTCCTCTGGTGAGCAAAGACTGGGTAGCCTTGTAGACGTTCGCGGTGTTGGGCAGCCTGAAAAGTTGACGGACAAAGTAGCTGAAAAAGATTTCAGGGTTTGGAAGCTCAAGTACGTCAACTGGGTGCAAACCGCATTCAAGTCGGCCGAAAAGTTGCTGACGGATGTTCTTGACGACGAAACCTCAGTTGTAGATGCTGCACGTTTTCAGAGTTTGACCAGCAAACATCCGGATGCTGAGCGGATATCTGCCCATTTGAATGCAACTCTTCTCTCCGTTTGTGAAGGTAAAGCTTTTGCTGTTGTAGAGAAGAGTTTCAAAGGGCCGAGTGCTGGTTTGGACGCGTTTCGTCGCTTGTGTCATCGGTTTGATCCCCAGTCAGAGGAGACAGATCTTTCTTTGCTAACGCAGATAGTGAACCTGGGTCCTTTCTCCAGCACTAACCCTACGGAGATTCTTGCCGAGTTGGAGCGTAGGGAAGAAATGATGACCAAGCACGAAACACGCACGTTAGACACACTGTCTGATGGCTTCAAGCACGTGATGCTGTTGAAGATGTTGGTAGATCCCTTGAAGACACACATGCAGTTGAACTTGAAAAGTTTCGACACGTATGAAAAGGCACGTGCGGAGGTTGTGCACTTTCTTGAACTGCAAGCTCAGACCCAACTAGCGTCGCAGTCCTCGCAGTCGCTTTCTTCATCCTCCACAGGGCCCGTGCCTATGGACATCGGTAGTCTCGCACAGCTTGGTGTCAAGTCTGTTGAGGAGTTGAGCTCTTTGCTTGCTTCCTTTTCCAAAGGAAAAGGAAAAGGTGCTCCGAACCCACATGGCAAGACTCCTAGTGGCAAAGGGAAGTCTCAGAAGTTTACTGGTAACTGCAACTTCTGTCATCGACAAGGCCACAAGGAGGCTGACTGTTGGGACAAGTACCCTGACAAAGCACCCAAAAGCAAAGGCAAGTCTAAGTCTAAATCTAAGTCTGCGAAGGGCAAGGACAAGAGCTTGAACACGTTGGATGAGTCCCCTCAGCAGCAAGAGCCGGTTGAAGCTGGCGGTTTTGAAGTAGACCTCGCGCACGTGGATGGTGACCATCAGTTTGTTGCTTCCCAGTCCTGGCACACTGTTCAGCAAGGTTGGTCGCGCGTGGAGCTCACTGTTGATTCCGGAGCCGGGTCTACTGCAATTCCGCCATGCATTGCGCCGAAAGAGCCTGTCCAAGTGAGTGAGACGAGCAAGCTTGGTCGGCAGTTTAAAACTGCAACTGGCCACACGGTTTCGGACCTTAAGGCTGTAAGAAGCTAAGGGCATTCACGGACTCTGGGGTAGCTGTTTCGTTTTCTTCCGCAGTGGCCGATATACACAAACCGCTGCTTGCTGTGTCGGATGTTTGTAGCAAAGGTGGCATCTGTCACTTCGAGGAAGGGAACAGCTACATCCAACCAAAGGGTTGTGGGAAGATCTGGATGGAAGAGACGAAGGGTCTTTACAAAGTTGGCGTGTGGCTGTCACCTTCCAGTGGCGGAGTCGCAAGCGTGGTTCCTTTAGCCCCCTTTAGTGAAGGTGGAGGGTCTGGATCTGGAGACTCTGCCCCTGTAGCGCCTGTGAGTGTAGGAGAGCACCAGGGTGTGCAAGGTGTTGTCGGTGTCGTTTCTGCTGAAGGGCAGGGTTTCCGGAGGCAGGTGGTGTCTTGGGGCACGACACTGTAAGTCCTCAAGACGACGAGCACGGAGATTCGGAGCATGCTGAAGCGCAAGCTGCTACAACTCCCAAATCTCCAGTTCTGCCCTCGGACTCGGAAGTCCGAGAGCATTGTCTCACTCATTTGCCTTTTCGTCCTTGGTGCCGCCATTGCATCCGGGGCAAAGCTCCAGCTTTGGCGCACAAAGAGCCTTCAAATACGGAGTACACCAAGCCGTTGGTGGCCATTGACTATTGCTTTTTGAGCAGCAGCGAGGGAAACGCGAGCGAAAGTCCTGTGATGGTTGTCAAATCCAAGCCCGACCTGGCTGTCTTTGCGCGCTTAGTTCCCTCAAAAGGCTGTGTGCATGAGTACAGTGTTCAAGCACTTGCTGACATTTTCCGTGTGCTAGGCTATCGCGAGTTTACACTCAAGACAGATGGCGAGCCTTCCTTGGTGGCATTAGCTCGTGCAGCAGTTGCCTTGCTTCCTGTTGAAGTCAAAGTTACCTTTGAGCACAGTCCCGTTGAAGAGAGCGAGGCCAACGGTTTTGTGGAGCGTGCCTGTAGAAGCGTGCAGGAACAAGCCCGCACATTGCTGAGTATGTTGCACGAACGTTTGCAGTGCGAGTTCCCGGCGAACCATGCCATTTTTCCTTGGTTAGTTCGGCATGCGTCGTGGTTGTTGCATCATTTTCACAGAACGGCATCTGGAAGGACTGCCTATCAGAACTTGAGAGGCAGACCCTGGCGAGAGCCAGTTTTTGAATTTGGTGCTGCAATAGTGTTTAAACTGAAAGCTGTAGCTGGCAAACTCGCGCCAAGATGGTCAGAGGGATGCTACCTTGGCACTTCCGACCTGACCACCGAACGATTTGTTTTGTGTTTTGAGACCATGAAAGTAGTCAAAGTGTGGAGCGTAAGAGCTTCACACGAGACTCAGTTGTGGCCCCACAAAGAGAAGCTTTTGTCCATGAGGGCTACACCGTGGGGGTTGAACGCCGAAGGCGGTGAAGCCCCGCAAGTTGTTGTTCCTGAAATGCCTCCACAAGGTCTGCCAGTGCCGTTCGTGGTTAATGCCCACCGTGCTCCCAGGAGGGCAGCCATCCGTATGTCTGACGCCTTAAAGTTCGGTTTCACTCCACTTTGCGATGGGTGTGATAAGTTAAGGCGTGGCCTCTATGGCAAGCATAGTGAGGAGTGTAGGGCCAGGTTTGAAGCAGCATGGAAAGCCAGCGGAGATGAAGAACTGGTTTCCAAAGTCACTTCTGCAGACGGAAGACGTGACAAATGGCTGGCCCGACAGGTGGAGAAGTATGACGAGGAACAGAAAGCCGTGAAGCGAGCCAGATTGGAGCAACAACCTGGTGATGTGGCAGTGGCAGCTGAGTCAAGTGCAGCAGTGGACTCTGCTCAGGAGGCAAGGTCCCCATCATCCAAACGGCCTGCCGAGCAGCCGCCTGAAGCCATGGATGAGAGACGGACTGCAGAACCTGAGAGCTTGGGTCCGGAAGCTCAGACAGCGATGACGGATTCTTTCGAGAGCATGCTGCAAGAGGCCATCCTGAGTCATCGGAGCGAAGTATTCTCAATGGATGCTGCGGTTCAGGAGCCCATTTGCGATGAACCCAGTTTGTGTGAACAGAGTCATAGCAAAGATTGCTGGGACGAGTACTTCGATGACGTCAGTGGCTTAGGACTCAACTCTCGCTTGGTAGAGATTGCGAAAAAGGAGGAGCTGCGCATAGCTGACGAGATGGGCTTGTGGACGCCTGTTCTGAGGTCAGAACTGCCAAGTGGGACCAAAGTCATACCTACAAGGTGGGTGCTGGTCAACAAAGGTGATTCCAAATCGCCCAGTTACCGCGCCAGGACTGTGGCGAAAGAAGTTAAGGGACACAAGCCATCTGAGGTTGGTTTCTATGCGTCGACGCCGCCAACAGAAAGCTTGCGAGCACTCATTGCTGTAGCCTCTACTAACCCGGAGTATGTCATGGATTTCGTTGATATTAGCCGTGCACATTGGTGCGCAGACGCCACCAGGTATGTTGTCGTAGAGCTGCCGCCCGAAATGGAAATGCCTGAACATGTCGCTGTTTTGAAGAAGAGTATGTATGGCACAAGAGATGCGGCCCACAACTGGGAGCAACAGTATACCAAGGTGCTTCTCTCACTTGGGTTTTTACAGGGGCGCGCATCCAGTTGCTTGTTTTATCATCCGCACAAAGACATTCGACTTGAAGTTCACGGTGATGACTTCGTGTCTGTGGCGAGAGCTCTAGACATCAAGTGGCTGCATGAGCGTTTTCGAGAAATGTGGAAGTGCAAGTTTTGTGCGACACTTTCAAGTCCAGGACAAAGTGTTCGAATCCTTGGCCGCTTGCTGTCTCGTGAGAATTCTGGCTACTCCCTAGAAGCGGATCCTCGTCACGCAGAGATCTTGATCAGCAGCTTGGGCCTGAAGAATGCCAAAGGCTTGAGCACGCCAGGCGTGAAGCTGCAACCCGAAGAGGAAGCAGAGCTGACGCAGAAGCGGCTCTCACCTGCAGATACCACTCTGTTCAGGTCTTGTGTCATGAGAGCAGCCTATATGTGTTCTGAAAGGCCTGACTGCCAGTACTGTGTGAAGGAACTCGCTCGCGAAATGTCATCCCCGACAGAAGCATCAATGAGAAGATTGCGCAGGCTTGGTCGTTACTTGATCTCGCATCGCCGTATGCTCTTGTGGTTCGAATGGCAAGACATGCCAAGAGACCTGGTTGCAGAGGTTGATGCTGATTTCGCAGGGTGTGGCAAGACTCGGAAATCCACTAGTGGTGGTGCCGTGTTTTTCGGAAGTAGCCCTTTGAGAAGCTACTCTTCGAACCAAGCGGTGATCGCCTTGTCAACTGGAGAATCCGAGTTTTACGGCATGCTGAAGGGATGCAGTCAAGCCATGGGTTTGAGAAGTCTCTTCGCAGATATCGGCGTTGAAGTCGGTATCCGATTGTGCACAGACAGCTCTGCCGGGAAGGCGTTGGCAGAAAAGAAGGGACTGGGCCGGGCGAAGCATCTGGAGACCCAGTATCTTTGGTTGCAGGACAGAGTAGCCAACAAAGATGTAAAAGTGTTTAAAATATGTACAGATGTGAACAGGGCTGACATGTTCACAAAGCATTTGCATGAAGCTCGCGCTTCTGCGTTGTTGTCGGCCATGAACTGTCGGTTCTCGACAGGCAATCACTCACTTGCGTTGGCTGTGACTTGAAGCCACTGCTAGTGCCCCGCATGTGTTTTCGAAATTCACAAAGCAAGTAAGCCGTTTGAAGAGCCCTTGGGCCGCAGTAAGTGTGAGCCCAACATCTGTGATGTCAACTCTCGCCGGGCAACAATGTAACAAATTTGACTTGTAATGATTTGTAAAGTGCTTCTACTGAGCCGGGTGTGCTGAAGCTCGCCCGCGTGTAGACCACTTGGGCTCGGGAGGCATGTTGAAAACCCTCCCGTCTCAGGTACCTTAGCTGCACATGTTCTTCGTTGCCTCTTTTCCAGAATGAGAGTTTGGAGTTGACTTAATTAAATCTTGATTTGTAATGTGCATCCATGCAAACCTGCAGGGCTCAGATCGCGACTAAAAGTCCGCAACAGTTGTCCTTATTCTCCGCAGAAAGTTTTGGAAAGGAGGGGAGGAAGGAAAGAGGGGAGGGGAGGGATGAGAGAGCAAGAGATGGCAGACAGAGAGAGAGAGAGAGAGAGAGAGAGAGAGAGAGAGAGAGAGAGAGAGAGAGAGAGAGAGAGAGAGAGAGAGAGAGCGAGACAGAGCGAAGAAGAGAGAGAGAGAGAGAGGGAGATTAACAAAAGAAAAATCTTGAGAGGGAAGGAAAGGAGAGATAAACACATCGAGATGAAGTGGTGTTTTCCCTTTCCCCTTCCTTGGTGTTATATCAGGTAAACAAAAACAATACTAATAGGAAAAGGCTAAAAGCGGCTGAAACAACAATATGGTCATGGGAATATTTATCAACAAAAGAGTATATTATCGTCTTAATTGAAGCAACACACTTGAAGGCGCTCAGGGTTTGTCATTTCCAGCAGCTCCTGTAGTTAGCGTTATTTATGTTATTATTGATTTTTTTAAAGTAGTATATTTATCGCAAACACCAGACCCTTAGACGAGGGTTGAATGGAAAACGGAATGAGAGGTAGGTGGCGAAGCCCTAGGAAAATAAGAGATGTGATGCCAAACATGGGAGCCCTGAGCCGTGAACCGAACTAGCCCTAAGCCATAAATTTTGCCTTAAACCTAAACCCCACAAATTGTATGTGTGAATTGAACCGTTTAAATAGCAAACAAAAAGGAAGTGCCAAATAGACCCTAAAGGTCCATGCCACAAACCCCTAACCCCTAAACCCTCTCTACCTATATATATATATATATATATATATTTAAACCTTAATGTGGTCGTCGGGTTTTTTTGCGTTTGCGTGGTTCCTAAATCCTAAATCCTAACTCCTAAACCCTAAATCCTAAATCCTAAATCCGAAATCCGAAATCCGAAATCCTAAATCCTAAATCCTAAGTCCTAATATGGGCTGTCCGGGGGCCCCCCCGGGACGGGTTGTCCCGGGGCCCCCCCGCGGGTTGTCCCGGGCCCCGCCGGGTCCCTCCCGAAACAAATGTCCCGGGGCTCCCCCGAAACGCCACCAAGACAGCTGTCCCGGGGAGCCCGCGGGACACCAGGCTTTTTAAAGTCTTTTGCGGCTTTTTCAAGCTATTCGGGGCTGTGGTGGTGCTTTGGGGTAAAATGGAGGGGTCCCGAAACCGTCGATTCCGGTACTAAAAAACAGCATCTTTCATTGCGGGAGCAGGCAATACCAGGCTCCTTCCTTTGGCCAAGCTTCTTTTGAGGAGCTTTTTGAAGCATTTTGGGGTTTGTTAAAGCTATTTAGGGGCTGTGCTATTTGGGGCTGTGGTGGTTCTTTGGGGTAAAATAGAGGGGCCCCGAAACCGTCGATTTCAGTACTAAAAATCAGCATTTTATATTGCCGGAGCAGGCAAATACCAGGCTCCCCCCTTTTTCGGTGTGTTTTTGAAGCTTTTTGTTATTTTTTAAATCTATTTGGGGCTGCGGTGGTGCTTTGGGGTAATGCCTGTAGGACTTTGGATTTAGGGTTCAGGGCCCTCTCTGGGCGTTTAAGATTTAGGATTGCTCTCTGCAGCTTTTAAGACTTAGGCGTTCGGGTTTAAGGGCCCTTCTGGGGCGTTTAGGATTTAGGATTCAGGGGCCTCTCTGGAGCTTTCAGGATTTTGGATTTAGGGTTCAGGGGACTTAAGGCAGTAAGAATTGAAATGGTAGATAAGGTTGCCAAATGAAAGGGATTCTAGGTGGGTGGGGTGATGCCAAACACCCTTGGTGAATGCTTGGATCAGAGATGCTGAACCCTAAACCCTAAACCCTAAACCCCTAAACCCCTAAACCCCTAATTCCTAAAACCCCCAAACCCCTAAACCCCTAAACCCAAAACCCGAAACCCCCACTAGGATGTGGCACGCGCACGACGGCTCCGCAATGCGGCACCTCAAGATCGCGGTGCCAGTTGATCGGATTTGGTTGCCCGGCAGCAACGATGCATACATCCGGGTTTAGGGTTCAGGGTTCGGGGTTTTGGGGTTTGGGTTTAGGGTTTTGGGTTCGGGGTTTAGGGTTTTGGGTTTAGGGTTTAGGGTTTAGGGTTTAGGGTTTAGGGTTTAGGGTTTAGGGGAAAACAATGTACTTTTTTTGGGGTGCCCATTCTTAGAGCAGGAAGGCAGCACATTTCAAGCTTCACTTCTTGTCGTGAGGCCTGCATCACAATGATTTTCCTTTGCGCGTTGCAACAGCCAGGCTGTTCCCTCTAGAAAGCCCTATGAACCGTAATTTAAAAACCCTACCATCCCCTATAAGCACTTGAGAAGGACCCGTACACCCCAAACCCCATAAACCCAACAACCCCCTACAAACCCTTACTAAACCCTGATTAAGCCCTTATCGAACCCTTCCTGTGCCGAGGTACTATCCGCAGCCCCTCTGCTGCAATGACCTGTAGGTTTGGAGCGTTATAGGGTTTAGGGTTAGAGTCAGGGTTTGGGGTTTAGGGTTTAGGGTGTAGGGTTCACGGGAACTATATAGGTACCCTAAAGGATCCCTTTGCAGGGGTTTAGGTTTAGGGCGCAGGGCTTCCTAGGGCTTAGGGGGAGTGAAGGCACCTTGTTCCCTCAACCTGCTAAGACTTTACGAAGAGCTTGCAGGTTTTGGCCTTCTTGGAGCACTTAGATCCATCACTGTATGGACCCGCCAATTCTCCGACCAGCCCCAGACGAATTAACAAGTGCAACTTATCAGGTCTTGCTGCAATGAACCCTACGCCGGGCCGATAGCCTAGGCAAGAGCTCCTGTGCGCGCGGGGAAGCGAAATCCTTGGTGCGAGCCTCAAACCTTGAACCCTAAAACCTAGTCCCTACACCCTGCACTCTTCAGCGCCGAAACCCTCAGCTGCTAAACCGTAAACTCCTAAACCGAAGCCTTTAAATCCGAACCGTCAAACTCTGAAGCCATAATCCCGGACGGTTCTAAAGTCAGATTGGTGCCGGAGACTTCGAGGGTTAGAAGGACATAGACTTTGGGATGGGTTTCAGGGTTTAGGGTTTAGGGTTTAGGGTTTAGGGTTTAGGGTTTAGGGTTTCGGGTTTCGGGTTTCGGGTTTCGGGTTTCGGGTTTCGGGTTTAGGGTTTAGGGTTTTGCAGGCTCGCGCAACACCCAAGCCCTTAAGCCTCAAAACTTCAGCTAGCCCTATCCCTCCAGTCGTCTTCGCAGTTTCATACGGGCGTTTCCCGAAATTAGGGGGTACCGCTCTTATACCCCCGAATACTAGAATCCTTACTATCCCTAAGGCTCCAGATAGCCCAAAGTAGGTATTATTTGCAGACTTTAGACCCCAGTGTAGGTATTATTTGTATACTTGGAGCCCTAGGGTATAGACACCCCCAAAAAGAGTACCCCTATATCTTCGGAAACCCCAATTTCGAGCTGAGGGCTTTCAGGCTAGGGTTTAGGGCTTAGGGCTTAGCGCTTAGGGCTTAGGGCTTAGGGCTTAGGGCTTATGGCTTAGGGCTTAGGGCTTAGGGCGTAGGGCGTAGGGCGTAGGGCGTAGGGCGTAGGGTTTAGGGTTTAGGGTTTAGGGTTTAGGGTTTAGGGTTTAGGGTTTAGGGTTTAGGGTTTAGGGTCTTCCTTCATCTCCCACAAAGCTGACGTGCAAATCCCGCAGACAGCAAGCCCCCTCAACTACAAAACCCAACACCCCCTACACTCCCAAACCCCTACACACCCAAGTCCCTAAACTCGGAACCCTAAGGCTCCAAGGTTTAGGATGTAGGGTTTAGGGTTTAGGGTTTAGGGTTTCAAGGTTTTTGGGCCCAAAGGCCATATGATAACAGGTTTTTGGGGGTCAGTTTGAGCCTAGGGGGGGGTAACATACCTACTACTACTTGGAGGTTCATAACCCAATTATAACTGCACTTCCAAGCCAATGAAAACCTTATTAGGGTATTTAGGGCTTATATGTGGGGTATAACTACACTGATAATGGGCTACTAACCTTTAAACCCTAAACCCTAAACCCTAAACACCAAACCCTAAACCAAAAAAGGGCCGTGGAAAATTTCGAGGTCTCACCTCTCACCTGACCGTGTGGAGTGTGGACGCCCTGGCGTCCGACGCAGGCGCAACTGATCCCTGGGGACGGGGGGGTGGGGTGTAGGATTTAGGGTTTATGGTTTAGGGTTTAGGGCTTAGGGTTTAGGGTCTAGGTTTAGGGTTTACGGCTAGGGTTTAGGGGTTTCTTGGGGGGGGGGGGGGGGGCTTCTGGTTTACTTGTAGGGCTTAGGATTTGGGGTTTTGGTCTTAGGGTTTATTGGGTTTCTGGGTTGAGGTTGTTTCGTGCACGTACAGTGACCGATCGCCCCAGCAAAGCGCAACTAATCCCCATCTTTAAGCTATCTTTCCATGAGTGCATTGCATGTTCACACGTTTTTTGTACACCATTCTCATCCGCTGCTTGTATTTGTAGGGGTTTGACTCTTTTCTGTATAGGTTACGCTGGGGGGCAGAGCTTTCTAGCATGTAGGTCGGGCCTGAAATCTCGGTTTTCCGCCGCGATAAGTGATACTGGCCCTTAGAGTTCTGCAATGCCCAAATGGGTGGTGGTCAACATTCTGGTCCTTTTTTGGAT